CCCGCTTATTAAAGATGAATTGGTTTTTGCGACTTATGAAAAATACTATTGAAAGTATCGATTCTTCCCTTAACATCTCATCTTTTAATCACAAAAAATATCAATTTTCGTAGACATCGGCCTCGCGTGATTTATTCTTCAAAGTTTTTTACAAGACTGAATCCAGCCATTTCAATCACTAACGTTCATCTTCGCCGTCGTTACTGTCATTATCATAGTAATTAATTTTTCAGACAACACTTGACCTACAATTCTAAATCTTTAAACGAGTTCACTTATTTAATAATCTTTCAAAGTTTTTGATCTTATCACTGCAACGCTTGTGCCTGTGGCATAGAGATTAGGATGCTCGCCAACCATGCACATCATTCGGGGTTCGATCCCCGGTCGACGCACTCCTTCACCTCACTAAGACAGAAATAAAGCGCTGGTAAAGAGAGAAAGTTGAGCATGAGGCTAGCAACCCTATCCTGTAAAGATAATCACCACTGCTACAGAAATTTCAAGCTGTCTCTAGCTTGAAGCCCTATGTCCCACTGGGAACGTGAAGGAATAAAAGAAGAACAAAAGAACGCTTATCAATTAATCCTTCATTTTAGCTGTCTTTATTCTTATCATATGTGCAATATTGGCTGAGCAATTTCTAGTGCCACTTAGTGCATTTTCCCTGAAGCAAATACTACTGTACAGATTAAAGTGAAGTCGTTGAAAAAGGGTATTTCCCAACTGAATAGACACATTGAATGCATTCAGCAAGAACAACGTCTCAATATGTGAGCTCCCAACTAAAAAAATAAACGTTTCGCCACACTTTAGGAACTGCCGTTCCTATGGGTTTGACTAATGATAAGATATTTTCGAAGTCAACAACTTGGAGTAGATTTTTTCTTTTCTTGTAACCAGAAGTAGTCGTGTTCACTGTGAGAGCTGATTTAACTTAGAAGGTTTTACTTCTTTTCTTTTTTTGGAAACATACAGTGGGTTTTAGCTTTTGGATACCTAGTTCCTCGGTTATGCCTATACTGAGCTCATAAATATATTTTACAATTCAATTATCCAAGACCGTGAACCATAGTCAAAATCAGTCATTATAAATCTGATGTGAACCTACACTCTGTTTACAGTTTCTAACGAAAGTAAACTAATATGCCTAAGTCTGTGATCAATTTTCAATCAAAGGATCATAAAAATTTTGTTTATCACACTTCGTTGTCTGCTCATGACTTATATGATTGGTCAAGGTATCTAAATACAAGATACCTCCTTTTCAGATATACGCCTTTGTTATTTTTATTTGGAATAATTTTTCTGGAGAATTTAGGACCATTTTGTTGAATGAAACTCTGGAATTACTTATTTCAATTACGATGAGACCTAACTTTATGTCGGAAATCAGTCAATAGTCCTCATCAAACGGTCTTAAGCTTATTCCGTCTAAATAGCAGGTAGTCAATTTCACTTTCAGACGTAAACGTGACCTACAACAACTAGCTAGATCACATGGCCCCACTATCATTGACGGCATAGAGGTTGAAAGTACATCTCATGTCAAGTACCTTTGACTGAGCATTTCCTCCGACCTTTCCTGGTCCTCTCAAATGTTGCTAGTTACTAGAAATATGTTTCGCTTAACTTTCTACGTTAGGAAGTTAAGGGAGTCTGGTATAGAGCAGTTTGTAAAAATTCTTGTATTCTACCCATCCCCGTTTACTGCCCCCCCATTAATCTTTCCTGGACTACCTAAGAAAGATATAAGAATAAAACTTGTGCACTGTGGTAGAGTGTAGTTCCATTATGGGTAAATTTTGTTTTGATTACTTCTCACAGCGTTATACAGTAATGTTTACTGATGACGTTTCGAGCACAATTTATTGCTCATAATCATATCAAGGTAATCACACGACTTCCTAAATTCATTTATATAGTTCCATTGTTTTTCTCTTGATTTTCACTTGATTTGATTGGTAATAGTATTTTCCATATTTCAGGTATGAGTGACGAGTCATTCCTATTGCATGTGTTGGGTGTAGACTCGATGAACAAGGATTCAGTAATCAACCTCTTCTTCTCTCCACCTACCTAGATTACTTTTTAGAATTTTAACCCTCTCCCACCCACTCTATTGTGTGGTTGTGTGTTAATGGATGTAGTGCAATGCGGTGCTGAGCTTTTTTCTAAATTACTTATCTTCTCGGGGTCAACCATTCTTACCTTAGCTAAATTCTTATGTTCCGACAATCTGACTACACCTGACCTACTAGTTTGACCTATGTAGTTGACCTAACTCACAGTCATTGCATGGTATTTTGTAAATAATATTATTTTGTCTAATTGGGTCAACTGGGTCCTTTAACCTACTTTAATTCGTCTCATCCTATAACTGTTAGGGCAGGCTTAGTTAAATGTTTAACAAACCGAGCAGTAGCACTAAGTAGCACAAAAAAAGATCTAAATGATGAATTAAAACAGATAGAAGAAGCGTTGGTGTTGAATAACTATCCTATAAAATTCATTAGGAAGATCATTAAAGACCAAAAACAAAATAAAAATAATTGTGAAACTAGTAATAATAACATAAATAAGAGAGAATATAAGTCATCCACAGTTATACCATATAAAGAGGGGACATCTGAGACACTACGTAGGATTCTGAATAAAATAGGAATTAGGGTGGCATTTAAACCTACAAACTCACTCAGGGACAAGCTCTGTAGGTTAAAGGACCCAGTTGACCCAATTAGACAAAATAATATTATTTACAAAATACCATGCAATGACTGTGAGTTAGGTCAACTACATAGGTCAAACTAGTAGGTCAGGTGTAGTCAGATTGTCGGAACATAAGAATTTAGCTAAGGTAAGAATGGTTGACCCCGAGAAGATAAGTAATTTAGAAAAAAGCTCAGCACCGCATTGCACTACATCCATTAACACACAACCACACAATAGAGTGGGTGGGAGAGGGTTAAAATTCTAAAAAGTAATCTAGGTAGGTGGAGAGAAGAGAGGTTGATTACTGAATCCTTGTTCATCGAGTCTACACCCAACACATGCAATAGGAATGACTCGTCACTCATACCTGAAATATGGAAAATACTATTACCAATCAAATCAAGTGAAAATCAAGAGAAAAACAATGGAACTATATAAATGAATTTAGGAAGTCGTGTGATTACCTTGATATGATTATGAGCAATAAATTGTGCTCGAAACGTCATCAGTAAATATTACTGTATAACGCTATGAGACTTTATCAAACAAAATTTACCCATAATGGAATTACCTAAGAAAGGCTTTGCTTTGCTGAAAACGGCAGGCACTAAAAGCCGTTAGTAGGCCAAGTGGGATATCATTAAACCAACTGGTTAACACTAATGTGGATACACACATTATGTAATGTAACAAACTAGCCAATACAATATTGTCAGATCCCGAGCATCCTCACGATACGCAGTTCTCTCCTTGCATTTCATTTGGTAGAACTGGAAGCAGCTATAGAAGGCTATGTGCTAGGACTACCAAGTACAAAACTCCACAATACCATATCTGACACAGCTGCTACTTGATGAGAAATCCATTAGGTATGACACGATCAACTTACTGCGGCACTCTAAGAAATAGTCCCATTAGTTTTTGTTTTTCTTTTCTCATTATTATAACACTGTTGTTCTCATATTCCATTACACAATAATTTTATACTTCATATCCTGTGGTGCATTGCTTAAAATGTAAACGCAACGCTGCTGGTTTAATTTTTTTATTTTATCTTTTTGTGCTGCTGTTTGATTTTAAAATCTTATAAGGTTTATGAGGTAATTAGATGCAGTATATTGTAATGCACGCTAAAAATTCCATACCTGTACCGCAAATACTATTTGGAATAAAGCTGTTATTGTTATTATTTAAGAAAATTATTTCTACCTACGTCCACATCTCACTAGGCTCCCAGTTATCTTGAATCTATTCGGTCAAATCCTGATCACAGTTCATATGATAAATTAAACGTATATAGATCTCAAAGAGGTATATACGAATATTTCCAAAGTTTCTTCATAGAAACATCACGGGAATAATCACAATTAAAATATAAAAGTTACACGGAGAAGGTGACATCTTTACCCTGCACTGCTAAGTCATCTAGAAAAGGGTCAACCATTTCAGTGCATCTACTTATTTACCATCACGCAATGGGAACTGATGGCCTAAGAGTATTAAGTAGTATCACAGTTAGGAGGAAAGAGTAATCGCCGAATCAGTGTTCATCAAGTCAACACTGAATACATGCAATCGAAATGTATGCTGAATCACTAAAACTACATTAACGTGTGCTTTAACAAATAATTCCATCTAATACAGTGAATAAATGATCCCACTACTCTTAAGCAATTCAGCTCTACTAAGTTTTTTTAAGACATTCAAGTATTGGTTTGTAGAGAATTTGATCAATTGGTTACAGGATCTCAGCATGAGCTGCCATTGGCTGGAGAACCAATGGAAAACCATCTGGGAATACTGGACAGCTGTTCCATCTTAGTTAAGGTCTCTTTAGCAATAATCACCCACCTGGGTTTCAACCTAAGGACTTCTGGCTACAAGGAGAGCTTGTAGACCATTAACTCAGTGGGACTCGATCCAATAGCCCATGAATTCTAACATCTGACAATTCACGAAATAGTGCGACAACTAGCTAATGCCTTCAGCAGGTAGTTGTCCTCAGGACTTGGATAGGGCAAGTCGCCAGTGAGCATCTCATCGATATTCAAGTGTTGGTTTTTAGGGACTTGATTGGTTTCAGGATTTCGTAATGAACTGACACTGGAAAGAAAAACATTGGGAAACCTGGGAGTACTGGACAATTTTATGGTTTAATATCAGAAGTAATCAATTTCTGTGTGACTACGAAAAATCTTTATTAGAATATCTTTGAAAAGCAGACATCCATAAAACTCAAATTCTAAACGGTAAATGTTATTCAGACATTTTCATCAACTTAAAAATGTATGCAACTTCGTTTACTCGAGTTTTCTAAGCATTTTTTGAAAAAGGCCATCGATTATAATCTCTGTACGTCATAAAATCGACTGCACATTAAACATCAGTTACATTTTGGTTGAAATCACAATAAGACCATGAAGGGGCTTGATATCTTCTTTAGAAGATTTTTTAAGCAACTTTTTGAAACATATTTCAAAAATAAAATCACTTATACACAATGTTTTAGTGCATTTTCCAAGAGTCTTAAACTAACATACATTTTCATTTCATATACATATATATACATATACACATATGAATATACATTTCTGTTGATATCAATATTGATATAAATACTGTTGTTCTGAAATAAAGCGTTATTTGAAATACCACACGTTTGGATAATACTGCTACCCTTCTGCCTTGTCTTCTGTGGAGTTGTATTTGGAGGAGGTAAGGACATTCTTTTGCTTTTATCGAAGATGGTGTTAATATGGAGATTTTTCCGATAGTGAATATTCATCCGTTCCCTGAGTAATCACTTTATTGAACCTTATGATTTGCTTTAGATGCACCATCAACTACTAGTACGCAATTGACTAATATGGAAACATTTTGTTGTAGAATAATAAGTGATGATTTTTGATAACCATCTCATAGTGCTTCCTGATATAAAGTGATATCACACTTGTAAAATGTGTCTATCGGGATTAAATATTTTACTGAAACTTAGAAGTTATTGATAAATGTGACAGATTATCAAAAGAAGTTAAGAAATGTTTTGTGAGTTGATAGAAGTATGTGACATGGATTATCAAATAATACGTTAATATGTTTGATTAGTATGTAAACTGATGATATTTCGTCGGAGTATCTACATATTTTTGTACTGACCAAAAGAATAAGCGGAAATATTCATCCAGATATCTTCAAAACACAACGTAATTGACCGAAGAATAATCTTTTCGATAATTCCCTCTTCTGACTCTACAAGTAGATATATGTGTATATATATATGACTTTGGTGGCACAGTGGTCAGGACTCTCGCCGACCATAGGCATGGGCCGAGGTTCGATCCCCTGCCGACGCACAACTGATATCTATGGTCGGCCTGCAAAATTTGGGCTACCGATATCCATGCTGAAAATTCCATACTTGAACCAAAAATATGGTGTGGAATCAAGCTGTAATCAAAAAGAAATACATAGAATAATCTAGAAGAGTATTCTATGACAATATTGGTGATTTTTTCAAATAACGTCTATTTGTCAAGTAAGATCCCAGTGGAATTACAGTTAATTGAAAATGCCTAAATTGTAATAGTAGCAAATAGAATATCATCTTAAACTAGGGAAATTTCCACAAAAGTTGAGGATCGTTCAAACCTGGATCTCAAGGTAAATACAATGTCTGAACTAGGATCTTCTGAACACATACGTTAGGCTACTTAATCTGTATCCCAACAGCCTCAGCGATATCTAGTAAATGAACTATTAAGGTGAAGGATAGATTGCGCGATTCAGCGGCAGGGAATGCTCTCGTCAGATTTTCGAACATCACCCTGTCCGGTTAATTATAAGAAATACAAAATCCATTCATATAGCGGTATTCTATCTTATCTGGTGGATACAGAACGCACGATTGATTTTAAAGAAGAAGCTTTCATTTACTGAACACCAACAAATCTTAACTTCGCCTTAAGAGTTAGTTTATTAAATATTACTGAGGCTGTTGGGATACACATTTCGTAGCCTACTTTATGTGTCTAAAAGAAGCTAGTTCAGACATTGTCCTTACCTTGACCATCTAGGTTCAAATGATCCTCAATTTTTTTTTGGAAATTTCCCTAATTTTAGTTGATATTCTAGTTGCTAGTGCTTCTTTATCATTAGAATTTAAACATCTTTAATGAACTGTAATTCCATTGATCTTACTTAACAAATCGATATTATTTCAAAAAAATACCAACATTGTTACTGACTACTATTCTAGAATATTCCATATGTGAAAACATATTGTTTTGTTTCAGGATTTAATCATGAGCTGACGTTAGTTGGAGAACCATTGGAAAACCTGGGAGTACTGGACAGCTGTTTCGTCCCAGTTTGGGACTCTTCATTAGCACTCACCCACCGGAATTCGAACCCTGGACCTTCCGGTTACAAGGCGAGCTCGTATACCATTAAGCCACTGGGACCCGATCCAATGGTCCTTGAATTCTAACTTCTGCCAATTCACGACATAGCGCGACCGCTAGCCAATGTCTTCGACGAGTATTTGTCCTCACACCCGACCCGCTGCACTAACCAAATCCCTACAAACCAACACTTAAATACCAATTATTTTGTGTTGAATATTATAAGATTAAGAAATTTCTACTGAAGAATGAGCAATATGTTGCACCTATATTTATGTAAGCATTCATTACATACAAGTCTATTAAGAGCATTAAAGTCATTCAAAGTGGAAGGGTTTCAAGCTTTTTATGAATATTACTCCAATAACCCCATGTTCTTATAAAGCGAAATAAATACTTAACCGGGAAAAAAATCTATTTTTGCAGTAAAGCTTGAATAAAAATCAGCGTTTTCAAATCACGTAACTACTATCACTATGTTCGCTCCATTCGTATGGTTTACATTGACAATCTGGTAATGAAGATAACAAAACGCTTCTCAACATAACTGTGTGAAAGTTGTTCTTTGTGAAGGGGAGCAAACAAGTGAAACAAGGATAAATGTGAACACTATCCAGTTTAAAATATAACACTATATAATCACTGGTTAACATTTGAAAATGGCCATGCAGAAGGATTATTGAGTAAAATACATCATTGGAACTTTTCTTCGTTATTATCAGTTTTTTTTAATATTTCGGCTTTCTTTACATTGACGTGACGCTTAAAATGCACATATTGTTAGCCTTTATCATCATAGGTATTGATAGTTGAATTATGTAGAGTGTATACCTTGAAAGTGAAATGTTTGTTCAGTGTGCGTTTCCATGTGCATTTCTCGCAGAATCTTCCGATGTCTTTTAATTTGTTTTCAAAATCAGAAGTAGCATTTAACCACAAATATTACTGTCCATCTTCTCTGACTATATTGAAGGACATAGTTTCATGTAATTCGAAAATTTAACCATTGTTTGAAAGAGCTTTATTCTTTACCAAGGTAACAAACCAAAGGGCTGCAATGAACTGAGTAAGATGAATAATTTTTTGATGTATTCTGCATATTTAATTGGAACTAATATTTAGTGAAAAGCAAAAGTAGATTTGCAATGTAAACATCAGTTTGACTAATGGAATTGGTTCTTCGATGCTAATTAATCTTGAAATGGCTGAGATTTTGATATGTAAAGGTCTATTAGTAAATACAATGAGAACAGAATTCCTAAACAAAATGAACACCATCAGTCTTAACTGGAATTATTGGTTTTTCACTGAGGATTGCTTAAAGGAACAATTAATATATGCTGATAATTCTCACAATGTGATTTCTTAATCAAACTCATAGTTACTTTGAAATGTTCACGTTTTGAAGACTTCTAATACAACTGTTATGATTCATTGAAGGATAAAAAATGGCAAAACTAATCATTTTCCTCAGTGTTCTAGATCACGTTCATTCCATAACATTCTGCATACGCAATAACATGCTTAAATGGTATTTTCTTTGATTGTTTAGAGGAAGAGTTGAAGGATTTGCGTGAGTCAAATGTTTTTTCTGTTTCATTTAGTTATCACTGTTTTTGTCGTGTATAGATCAAGAGGTTGAGATGTTTAAACGAAGAGCGTGCTTGCGTTTTTCTATTATTTAGGATATTTGGTGATAGAAATTAGGAAACGACGTAAACATCGAAAATTTTTAATTGTTGGTTTGTAGGGTTTCTGTGTGCTTGACTGGTTACAGAATCGCATCATGAGCTGACTTTGGTTAGAGTACCACTGGAAAACCTGAGAGTACTGGACAGTTGTTTCGTCCTAGTTTGTGACTCTTCCCGGAACACACCCACCAGAGTTTGATACCAGGACCCTCTGGTTACAAGCGAGCTCGAAAACCATTTTGCCACTGGGAACTGATCCAAGTTTTGCCAATTTACGATATATCGCGACCACAAGCTTATGTCACAGCTGGCGAGTATTTGTCCTCACACCTGACCTGCTGTACCACTCTTTGTCACTAACTTCCATTAGATTGCCAGGTAACGTTTTACCTGAATAGGGCCAGTCGACGATTTATTTCACTAAGCCGCTGTATAATTGTATCTATATTTAACAAAGAATTCATAAGACCAATCAGATATTGGTAAAATGTATTCTCAATTAACTTATTACGTGATGTTAAGTGTTATCTATAAAGTGTGATTGAGTGGGGATTAGAAATTAATGGCTAGAAATTGGAATGACGTAATAAGCTTGAGAGAATGACCAATCACTATTATTGTGTAGATTGGACAAAACCTGGTAGAAAAGTGATAAAGTGTTTTTATCAAAATCATTATGAAAACCTTGTGTTATCAATAAGTCCTAGTGCAGTAACAATATAAAAAGGATGATAAGAATAATAATAATGATAACAGTAAACTTACATAATAAAAAGAAGCAAAATTATGGTAAGAACTTTACGGTGACCACGGTTAGGCGAGTGAAATCATTCCAGAAAAAGAAATTTGAAAATAAATAGTAACAGTATGCCTTGGGTATGACTTAGTAAATAGCAGAGAACAAGTTTGTCATAACCACAGAAGTTTAGATCGCTTGTCGGCTGGTTGTTGATTGAAACAGATCTCAGCAAAAAGTATGACACTTCGAAACGTGTCAGAAATTTCACTTGTGTACACTGAACATAAAAGCTGAGCGAATGTTCATCTGAAATGGAACAGCCGTCGAAATATTCTTTGGAGATTACGATTATCCTCTCATCATGAGCTATCGTCTTATCACACTAACTAGTGACTGACCCACCGGCTGATATAAGAAGCATGATTTGAAAGGTTACGATGGATACATTCAGCGCTGATAACATAGAGTGGCATAAGCGTAAGTAGAAATGAGAATAAGTGTTCCCTGAATACAACATTTTCGTCTTTTTGATTAAAACATAGAAAACAAGCAGGGTGTAATTTCAGATCATTATATATTGACCAATTTTGGATGAAACACTTTGAGATTTTGGCAGGTGACTTACAGTCAAAATTACGGGGTCATTGATCTTCAGCATTTATTCACTGTTGAACAAATACGATTCAACTTAGCGATAATAGTAACGATAACATTGTGCTTAAGAATGCAGATTTGCTGAATATTTGTTTAGTTAACACTGATTTTTCTCTTCATTTCGTTCATTTGGAGCTGATTGAGCCGTTGGTCATTTTAGCTAAATTGAATCCATTTTGCCACTTTTGTGTGTTAAGACAGTGAAATTTAATTTAAAAGTTAACGAGGCAAGCAGTAAGTTGGTCTACTTTACATCTCAAATGTCATTATTATGAGAGTAGCAACTAAATCCATTCAGTTACGGTCTAAAAGCAAGAAACCGAACTCTCAGTTTCACTGTACAGCCAACAGAACTTCTTTGAGACACATGCTTCCACGAAACGTTCAAAGACAGGGGAAAGATGATTATTCTCTGATAATTTAGCGGTTTTATTTAATAATATTAATGTCACAACAACCTAAATGTAAGCTAACAGTGCCCTGAGGCAGCTGTACAGTCCAGGTATGTTTCTAAATACAAAACATTGTCAATGTTGGTGATCATCGATAGTTTGATTACTCGAACTGGTCTCCATCGGCGTGTGACAAGAAGGTTTTCATTGCTCAATCGTGTACTGGTTGTCAGAAGATTATAAAAATATGATCAGACGTATTGTTACGTCCTTTATTACCTTTTATCTACAGACTTTGATACTGATTAACCATTGTGAATCTGTTTCGTTGTGGCCTGAAGAATAAATCATCGTGCTGTTCTACGTCGCTAACAGTTCATAGCATTACGCATATTAAGTTTAATCTTCTGAATTTAGTGACAGATCCAGGATCTCTGCAATCTGGATATTTGACAATTACTGTAGGAAAAAGTAGTTAACCAAAGTTCTACTGTGAAAGATGCTTTAGAATGAAGCAGAATATTCGCAAAGCCATGAGATCAAAAGCGGTATCCACAAAAATCCCACACTAATGCTTCTTACCAACTCTTTTGGGTCACAGTGACCTTCGTTCACTGAAAAAGAATTCATACCCTTAAACCACACAGTGTCAATATACACACAACCCCATAGCATATAAGTGAATATTTAACAATATCAAAAGCAAGTAGTATAGTTAAAAATCAATATACGGTATGCGAATTGCAAATAAGTGAAATACAATCTAGGGGAAAAACGCATGCAAATTACAAAGTTAGTCGTAATGTCTGAATAAGCTAAGATGCTCTAAAGAGATCATCCCGGAGGTATTTTTCAAACAATTTCCCCATTATAGTGAGTTTTGATTGTGTGGCGATGCTAAGTCAGAAACAATCCAAGACAACAGTACTCGTAACAGGTGGTTCAGAAAGAAGTTTTACATTCTGAATGTCGACTCTGAAAACTCCAAGAAAGTACATGTCACCAAGATGTTCTTCTGTGTATCAATGTATTAGCTTATCAGATCATAATCTGCCTTTACCGTTGTATCATGCCAGTGTTATATAATCATTCACTTGTAAATTTCCTTTAACCTCTACCGATCTTACCAAATGCACCTGATGAAGATTGATTAGTTATGTATTTTGAATTATTTAAACACCAGGATTCAATATGAATGTTGTTTTGTAAAGGATATCCTTATTTCAAGACTAAGTTTGTTTGTTTTGCAAAAGAAATGCAATGTATGCAAAGCCACCGAATACTTTTACGGATGCAACAAAAAAATGTTCACATGAATTATTATTTAGAGAGTTCAGGTGAGTGAACTGTTGATCAAAAATGTCAACAAACACTAATGGTTCACTAGAAAGTTTATTTTCTGATTGGTATTCAGTTAATTTACTTTCCTGTCAATTAAACAAACCCTATAGACGTTTTACATTAAACCTGCAGACTGGCCAACAGCTGCAACAAAACTATTATTATTGCTCCCTTGGGTTCCTAGTAGAACATAGGGCTTCAACTGCACGTCTCCATTTTCTTCTGTCTTCTGCTATACTTTTCGCCTGCATCCATGTTAGTCCATACTCTTTCAACTCCTCTTCACACGATCTCCTCCATGTCACCCTTGGACGTCCCACACGCTGCTTCCCTTTCGGGCTGCACTCGAGGGCTTGACGCGCGATGTCACTCAGCGGTCTCCTCAGCGAGTGTCCGATCCATCTCCACTTTCTCATGCATATTTGTTGGTTGGCGATTGGTTCTTGCTTTGTTTGTTCCCATAATTCCTTGTTGGTGATTCTTTCCGGACCGGCCATCTGATCTTCAGTATAGAGCCAGCGAAGACAGTTGTTGTTGTTGATAAAGGTCTGCAACAGGCTGTTGGAGAAATTCTTTGTGACCCGCCCGCCCGCTAAGTTTCTGATCCGCATAGAAGAAATGACTTTACGTTTGTATTGAAAATCCAACCGAATTTTGTTGGTGATGCTGGCTGAGTGACGAAGATTTCCAGATTGATTTCAGGCTGATGAATGTGTTCCTCGCCTTCCCGAATCTCGCTCAATTTAACATACTCGTCCGTTCCTACTGTAGTTGAGACAATGCTCCCTAGATAAGTGAGTGAATGAAGTAGCCACTTTCAAATCCCTCCTGTTGATGGTGATTGGCGCTGCATGTTGTTGCTGTTGTTGGTTGGTTATTTTCATAACCTCCGTCTTGTCTATGTTTACCTGGAGTCCTGTCTTCGCTGCAACAAAATACTGTTTGTAAAAGAATTGAGCTCCAGTGTAATACCTAAAATATGACCAACGTTTTACAATAGTTCCAAACTCAACTTGAAATCGAGCTTCTGAAGCAATTCACTATTTAGGAATCACCTAGAAAAGTTGATTAGGTCTATACTGATTTGTAATCTCAAATGATTTAGGTGTACTTCGTGTTCTTCACCATTGAAATGGAACTTTGCCAACTTATAATTCACCATCACAAACATGAGTGAGATTTTATTTTCGAATCGGATCACAGACTTCGATATGTTTTAATTGTTCAGTGCTTTCGATCAGTTTTACAGCAATCATTTTCCACATTTGACAGAATGTCTCAGTAAGTTACTAGCATAGTAAAAATTGTTATGCTCGTTTGATAATGTCATTCCACCACCTGAATTCATTCCTTGTCACAGATTTCCATGTACCGGTACAACGGTATAGCGAAACAGAAAATCAATTGTTGATCGAATAAAATTTTTCCAAAAAATGTAATTTAGTTTGTATCAAGTAACTGGATAAAAATTCAAGTTGAAAGTACTATTTGTCTAGTTTGAACTGTAGAAGATCTGCGAATTAAGCGGGTATGATTATATCTCTGACGATGTCAGTGAAACACTCATCTGATGTTTAGTTTGACCACCACCCCTCTCATAATGGTATTATCAACTCAAATGACTCAGATGTAGGTAACCAGTTATACAAGCATATCCAAGAATATTAGACTTATATGTAAGGATTTGTTATCTCATTCATCCTACACGAGCGAAGTCGTTGGCAAGTCCAGGTGAATATGAGACTGAAACTACAAAAGTCCGTTTACAGTCTCACGTCATGTCTGAAAGAATAACAAGGAGATAACTAATTTTGAGACTCAAAGCAGAAATCTGACCACTTCCAAGAAATACCACATAACAATTACTTATCATATTCTCGTTTTCGTCATGCAGACGTTGATATCTTTAGCTGCCCAACCTTTTCTAAAAGAATGTGTCAAATTATATGAAACTTCTATTTCTACTACATAAAACAGAAGTGGCTGGTAGGTCCTATAGCCAATTTTATTAAAGATTATAGTGGAATCTTGTACCAGATAGGTCTCCAAACGTTTGAGGATACTGAATGCGAAATAACTTACCCGTCCTATTGGTTACATAAACATACTCCCGTTTGTATTTATCGATATGCATTGAGTTTCATCGTAAAAATGTTTCACCTTTCGAAATAAAGGAACATTTCATTAAACAAGAAATAATTCTGAACTTGCAGAAGGTTAATTTGAAATGGACTACAGTCCCATCATCAATGACCATGAAAGTGTGCATACATGTTTATCAGTTCAAGCTCCAGCTCTGAAATAGCTCTACTGTGAAAACCTTTCTGAGTCAAGTTAAAGGAAAACTCCACAAGAACTATGTCACAAAGGAGGATGAGGAAAGTGCCAATCGCCGCCTCCTTTCTTAGTAATTCTGAATTCCCTGTTTGTAAATGATTACAAAGAGGTTCCCAACATAAATAGTTGCATGTTGATATTTTTAGCTAAGAAGATTCTCTATGGTGAGTCAAATGAAAATTTGTCTATTTAAAAATTGTGAATAGTGTATCAATAAGAAACATGATTGCTTATCGAGTTTTCTTCAGTCATTTAAAATGTTATCCTTAGACCGAAGAAGATAACAGTGTAATTTCAGTTTGAATGCACTTCAGATATTTGGGAGTGAAGGGTCGGAGTTTCGAATACAGAAAACTTCAACAAAGACGCTGACTACACATAACCTAATTTCCTGATGACCCTGTTGTTTTCTTTTGAGATAAAAAATATCTTCAGTAATGTGTTTCTTGGTAATTTTTCGAATAGATAGGTTTGAAAATCACGGGGTTTTTCCCAGTTACATTTTTGTTTTATACAATCATAACTACTGATTGCTAAGACATCTCGCACTTGGATGTCATCAGTATGATGCGAATCATTCCGAATCTCGTTGATGGTAACAAACCTTAGGCATAAATAGTGAGTTTCTTCAGAATTAACGTTTCTGTAAAATATTCACGGTGCGTGGAATCGTTCTCGCTTGCTTACGTTGTTGAAAATCTGAACTACTGATATAAGTATAAAACATGGGGACTGTGGTACGCAGTAACTCCGCTAACGACAAGATTTTATTTTGATAAACTACACAGTGTTATACAGTAATATTTACTGATGATCGCATTTCGAGCACAAACTATTGCTCATAATCATATCAAGTCACTCATACAACTTTTCTGGTTCGTTTATATATATGAGTGGAATTGATGATTAGATGTTTGAAAAAAAAATCAATATAGGATAATGTACATTCAGAAATAATATAATAATAATGATAATTTTTGCTTTATTCTAAAAACGGTACTAATATGATACAGCAAGGAATTTTCAGCACTCAGTATAATAATGCATCTAACTTACTCAAAACGACAAAAAGTAAGTTTTACACAATAATAATAACAAAACCTTGTTATAGCAGCTATGTGGCAATTACGGTATGCGATTAGGAGAAAAATATGCATAAAGTATAAAATTGTAGTAATAAGAAGGGGTGACACCAGAAAACTCACAGAAAAATGAATGATGAATGTGTCGATTCACTTTGCTAATTTCATCACATAAAATACGGGATAAATGGGGTATTGTAGAAATTTTGTACTTGGTGGTGCGGACATATAACTTCTTCTCGAGATGAAAGTGGGTATTTGTGAATAAAGAGGGTGCAGAAGGTCTGAAAGTTAGCTCTTTTGTACAGAATTTTATGTCTATCGAATGATATTGATTAAATATAATCAGATGGGAAAATAAGACAAGTGTTTTTATCGTCAAACTAAGTAATTTGTAAGAATGTTGTGATGTACTTAAATTGAATTAAAAAATTTCAGATTATTTATTATCCTCCTCTGATTTGATTGGCGGTTCTATTATTCTCCATATTTCTGGCTCTTGTATTGAGTCATTTATGTTGCTTGTGTTGGTTCTAGACTCAGTGAACCAAGATTCAGTAATCAGTCTCTCGCTCCACCTACATGGATATTTTCTGAGAATCCTAAACCACCCTATTGTGTGATTGTGTGTTAATGCAAGCAGTGAAGTCAGAAAATTTCACTCGTGAACTCGATAGTGAATAAGCGCACAGTATCGCCCATACTTCAATTAATTACTCGTCACCACATGAGGCATTTTGAATAGCTCCAATGTATCTCTAATAAAATGTCTGGATTTAAATAATCAAATTTGTCATCATTTTTAAATTTTTACCGCAGCTCCTCAACCTCAGTCACAAGGTTAATGCCAAATTTCCAGTGAAACTTTACCTTTCCTAACCTCTTTCCTTGTTGTTATAGGATGACAGGGTTATCCATCTACATTCCTTCAGGTTTCAGTATTGTAGCTGTAACAATAATGGATTAGTGAAGCATGTCTCTCCTTCAATCAAAATCGAAACGAAACTTTGGGTAATTAAGTAGGGAGTGTTATCACAAACACCACAATAGTGACAGTTTTGTACTGAATATTCACAATTGATTCATCATAATGTAACTTTTGGCTGGTTTCTCATTCGAAAGTAGTTCTGTCATAGTTGATATTATGTCATCAACTTAGCCAGTGCTTTCTAAAATTATTCTGTAATGCTTTTGTCAGGAGAAGAAGAAAAAAAGAAACTCCAGAGTGTAAGTGATGAGAGTTTGTTGTTTTTAAAAAAATTGGTGTACTCTGTCAAAGTTTCTTTTTCAATCTTCAAGTGTGCAAAACAAAAACGAAGTGGCTTGTGGCAGGACTATATGAATCTTAGTCTGTCTAAATTTCAGTTAGTATCACGTGGTATTCATTTCAAGGTTGCTGCTAATGAACACGCACACTTCTCGTTAACTAATCTAAATTCCTGGAAAATATTTCTTCAATGAATTTATCGGAAACAAGATTCAAGTATCAACTGAATGTTTCTCTTGTTTGACTATTCAAACGTGTTTGCAGATGCCTAGTCTACTTAGTTATCATCTGTGTGAATGTTTCAACCGTATTTGACGAAGTAATTTCTTACAGAAGTAAAGAGAAGTAACCTGAATGTGTTACAAGTCGGTTTCGTCAGTTTTTTGAAGGATATATCGACTCATACACTAATAGACACATTCATTTTGTCCGTCTTATTGCTTCATCACACATTGATACTTGCAATGGAGACAGGTCATTTACATTCAACAAAAACAAACTATCTAATTCACTGTGTATTAAGTCAGGTTTCAAGTAAACTAATCGGCATTCTACCTATATACGGACTTCAAAAATCTCACAACTAAAAAATGAGGGAGTCGGATGACACGGAACAGAGTAAAGGTATATAATGTACTAAAGTTGGATTTTAAAGATTTGTTTTGTTGATGACGGATTAATGTCAGTTAGAAGACCATTGAAAGCCAGTACTGGAGTACTGGACAGTTGTTCCTTTTTTCCTACTCTGGGAAGCATTGGCAGTATGCACCCACCACCACGGTTCAAACCCATGACCTTCCGGTTTCAAGTTAAGCTGGCTCGTATACCACACAGTCACTGGGACCCGACTTACTGGCTCATGAATTCTAACTTCTACCAGTTGGCGAGTTAGCAGCACTCTAAACAATCTTGTGACCAGTGAGGTCCGTTCAACCACGTGTGAGGATGGATGTCCCACCGAAGACATTGGGTAGTGTCGAGCTAAATCACGAATTAGTAATTAGAATTCATAAGCCATTGAATCAGGTCTCAGTGGCTGAACGGTTAACGAGCTTGATTTATAACCGAAAGTTACTGGGTTCCAACCCGGTTGGTGTGTGTACTGTCGATGATTCCCAAACTAGGATGAAACAGCTGTCCAGTTCTCCAGTACTGGTTTTCAATGGTTCTTTGACTGATATACAATACCGTTTATTGTGTTACCGATCGTGAAAGTATCATAAATTTTCTCAACTGAATAATTTTACTCCAGTAGTCTTGTCTTCCTCAAATTTTTATTGATAATTTTGTCAGGAAAATCTACAATTTAAATCAGGACTTTGAGCAATTTTGACCTCCATTAAAGGCCGTGAAAAGATTTCTTTGAGAGAACAAACGTAGTTGTATCCTGTAACTGTATGAACCGTCTTAAACGAAAAACAAATGGCATTATTTTATCATTTGTCAGTTATCTAATCAGCATTCTTGTAAAATTGGTCCTCCTAAGGCAAACTTATTAGAACTTGTAAGTTATTCAGGCACACAGTGATCAATTCATATGTAACAAAGTTTTCATAGATCCGCGAAATTACTATTATTATTATGTAATAAAATAATGATTTAGTTCACGCTTACTTCATGTTTTCCGATTCTCTGACTTGCTATCTTGCATTTAAATTCGCGTGAATATATTTCTGTATCGAGATCAGTGCACTGACATTGTTCAGTAAACTATAGAATCGGAAGTTTGTCTCGATATCAGTAAATAATCCGAAAGCTTTACATGAATGAGAGTTTTACCAATAAGTTGCTTTAATTGACGAAGCGTGGTTGCAGTACTATCAACAGATTTCCCTCAAACTTTCACATGCGACTTCCTAAAAAACTAAGTAATCTCTTAGTAGTTGAGTATTCCGAATGTGTTAAGCATGTTTCCGGATGTGCCTATGGGCAAGTGCCTCTGAGGAATCCTAAAAAAGGACGAAAGAGTTATTTTATTTTCTTTATTTCTTAATTGCTTTTCAGAATCATTTCGTTTCCAGCTAAGACCTAACTTGATGTCAGTTAAGTGCCTTCTAAGAATATATTATTATCAATATGTGAAAGAAGTTAGTTTTTTACCTACGAAACTGCGAAAACTGGGAAAGTGGATTCGGTATATAAACAAATGTCAACTGATGCATTCAAAATACGAGAGCAAACATGATGATAACAAGAATTGCTTCTGTAGATAAGCATAAACAGAATGTACATATTCACGTTACAATCAAATTCGTAAAGTCTAGTGCTTGTAATAGGTTTCTAAAGTGGATGCATTCACTTTGCGTGTAGTCTTATTTGATAAAGACAGTCAAATATGGAAATTCTCAAATGATCGGGAGTATTCTAATGTTGATAACATTTTGCAGATGGAACGATACATAAAAATATTTAAGTGTTCCTATTCGAAAGTCCTTTTTTGTAGTTGAGACCATAAATTGTGGACTATTTCTCATTTAAGTGATGAACCTTAAGCAGTTTAACGGAGTTGGGTAAGTTTAGCGCATCATTTTGTCGTAGCATATTTTGACAAAAATTAATGGACGCTGTTTCTGTTTTGAGAAATGCAGATACACAACTGTTTGTCTTTGTTTTCAACTGCTGAAACAGCTGGTACTGAATAGTTATTATAACGTTGTGAAAACTAAAGTAAATCAGTGCGCAATCCGTACATGCTAGTGATCATCTAACATGGATTTTTACAATACAGATCGTTATTTTCTATAATTTCATGATTTAGCGCGACCCGAACTATTGTCGTTGGTGGGACATCCATCCACCCACGTGACATCTAATTGGACATCACTGGTCACGACTTCTCACTAGAAGTCCAGAAAACTTCATCTCGTAGCAAGTCACTAACTAGCATTTTCTTTAGTTTGGTTTGTAAGGGTTAGTTATGTTTTTACGAGTTGATCACGGATAGATATCAGTCAGAGAAGCACTGAAAGCCAGGGAGTACTGGGCTCTGCTGTTTCATCCTAGTTTGAGAATCATCGACAGTACGAACAGTTGCAGTGTCTCCACTCCTCTACATTCAGTTCTAGATAGGCATATTAGAACTTTTTGTCCAATACGTTTTACAAACAAGAATCACAGGTTGACTTTGTTGTCGTTACAATGAATTTATATTTCACGAATCCTACCATCCGCAACAATCACCCGAACAAGTATTTTTATGTATGAAATTCACTTCAGAAAATTCAACATGATGTACGTTTGTTGGATTATTTCATGTCAAGTGCTTCATGCCTTTATCACAATGAAGTTACAGGTGAATATAACAAAGCTAGCGAATATTATGGCGAACTACTACTAAATATTTTCTAAATAGGCTCTTGAAGTAACAAAAGAGTGTTTCGTATAATAATGTTTAACTTTTGGCTGCTGCTACTTAATTAAAATACATCACGTTTTAATTTGTGTCCAAGGATGTGGCCTCACCTGCTGAAAAGAAGAGTTAGAATGTGCACAAGACAGTAGTGAATGTTTCAAAAATAAACTCAATTCGTAAGGATCCAAGAGGAATGTGATTTATTATCAAATGGATCTCAGTTTATTCATTGAAAAGTTTTTAAATGCCTACATTTGAGCGGTCGCCTTCGACTAATAACCATGTACTTTACTCTCTTCCCATCACAGACAATACCACACACTCAAGATGGTTGTTACCTCAAGTTTATCCGTCATCGTTATAACACATAAAACATCACTAATAGTAAAACTTCGTGTGATCTCCTTTTGTTTCTTCATGTTTTGAAAATAAATACTTGATAGAATTATCTATTCTGCCTCAGCAAGACAGATAAACAGTTAGCTTCTTCTCTTCTGAGTGGTTATTTTTCTATCATTGGACATTTTACTATCATTAAGTGAATTGTCTCGTCTCAACAAAAGATGATTGTAAGCTTGACAAAAACTTCTTCTGAGATTCTGTGAGACAGAATTTAGAAAATGTATCCAAAATTGGATGAGAACGAAATCCAAAGTGCAAACATCGCGCCTCTCTAACTGCAGACAGATTAAAATATATGCAGTAAGCATGAAAAATAACTCAATGGATTTCATATTCTTTTTAGCTGTAGTTATACAAGAAGGTTTTTCCAAGTTAAACTTGAGAGCGGGATCACCACAATCGAATCCAAAAGTCTTGATAAATGACTTCGAAACAAAACCTTAGTATACGTGTGATAATATAAAAGCAACCAATGAGGAAGCGTCTTTAGATTAGTTGAGCAACGATTGGCTGGTCAAGGAAATCGTCATAATGGTGAAATAAGTGACATTGGAGAAACAGAACTAACATATGAGGTACTTATGAGACAAACGAAATATTTCTTGACAGATTATGAGAAGATGAATATCAGTTGCCTCTTGTATATGCAAGTTCAGTTTAAGTGATGGATTAACAATAGAACAGGCAAACGAGAAGCTTGTTAGGTAAACTCACACTAAAAATGACATCCTACAAATCTGAGTAAGCAAAACTGCAATCAGCTAAAAATATGCTTACATTTCATACAACTATCTCTGAACATACATCCACATACTGTTGAAGGAATAGTGAGTTTTCTTAATCAGTCAGCCAAACACAACAAAAGGTAAGCAAGAACAACTAGGAGGTCCTAAATAATTACATTTCTGTCTCTATTATTGCATTCATGGTTGTATAGGAATGTACTTGTAGCAGCTGTCGAGAAAAGATCGAGATCATTTTCAGAAGTAGGTGACAAGTCAATTCAGACGTCTAGTTGTCGACAACTGCAACAAATAGTATCGTACACGATAGAGACATCGTTATCTGCTGGCCAAAGAACACAGAAAACAACTTTGCTTCAAGTAAATAAAAACATAATCCGCGTTCATCGTGATAAGAACAATGGATCTGTGTTAATGCATAGATTCGACTTTACTGAGAAATTAACAAACATACTATTAGACAACACCAATTCCTTCAAATCACTCAATCAGAAAGACACAATAGAAAGAAGAGAAGACCCCTTTTCAAAGTTGCTGAAGAGAATGAAAGAACATTCAGTCATAACAACAAGAGAATATGAGCAAATAAAACCATGAAGTTCGACTATTGCAAGATATTATGGACTGTCTAAAGTGCATAAAGAGAATTTCTCACTTCGACTTACCACATTAATGGTTAACTCACCATAACATAAGCTAGATGATATTCTTGAACAAGTAAAAAGACACAACATAAAATATAGACTAAGCGATATATTTGATTTCATCGACTCAATGGAAGATATCATGTTTGAAATGCAAATGACTGCACTGAATGTAACCATTCTTTCTTCACAAGCATACAACCTGACGTGACAATACGCTTTATCTGTGAGATACATCGAAACGAACAACCTAAAACTACCTCTTCCGAGAAACTACATGAAGGAACTTCTTCTCGGATGTATATATAATATCCAGTTCAAATTCGATGAACAATTATATGTACAGAAAGATTATGTAGCCATGAAGTCTTCTGTCGGTTCACTCCTAGCTGACTGCTTCATGGCGAGTCTTGATCGTTTGACAAGTCAACTGTGCTTATACAGGTGACACGTAGAATTTACATTTATAATTAGCGATAGAATAGTTGATTAAGATTATCTCCTCGAAACCTTCAACGTGGCACACCCATCAATACAATTCACCTTAAAAAGTTATTCGAAAATGTCATTTTCTTTTCTCGATGTACTACTTACCAGAAGACAGGTCGGTACCATCCAAAGATCGATATATCGCAAGTCAGCATGAACAGGGCAGTTTTTCGACTTCCATTGCTTCTTCACACTGATCTGAAGGCGAAACCTAGTACGTACATTAAGTTGAAGGAATAGAAGAATCTTTTCGGAAGACACCATAGGCAAGGAACTAAATTTATTACGTGATACCCTACTAGAGAGCTGGTATCCACCAAGTTTTACCGACCAAAACCCGAAATAAGTGCCTCCGTTACCAAAAATCACAACTGTTCCTAGGAAAACTTTATACATGAACCTAGTATTCAAAGGTGACATAGAAGCAGAAATTCTTAGAAAGCGCCCTTCTAAATGTCAAAAGAAGACATTGCAGCAGACGTTAACTCAGTTTAACATCAAGAATGAGATACCGCTTCCATCTGCCTTGATTTGTAATTATCAGTTAACTTTCTCGTGTGGAGCAAAGTTTATTGGCCGTATACGACATCAAGTCTACAAACGTATTGTAGAACACTGTTCAGCTTGGCTTGCCTAAAAAGAGGAAACTTAATAATGCTAGCAGCTCCATCTTTGAATGCCTTGTCAAATCTGGATATCGATAACCTCCGTATGACTGCTTCATAGTGCTACACAGAAACGCTCAGTATCGTACAAAGGAACTTCCAATGGGTTATCTGTACCTAGCTGAATCATTGTCTATTCGGGATCACGGTTCCAAGTGAAGAGAAAGGCGGGAAGTAGAACAAAGTAGGAATGGGTTGTTGACGCCCCATGTTTCACAAGGAAACGAAGGGAATAAGAATATTACAAAATAATAAAACACGTAGATCGATTAGTGAATAATTTTGAAAAAATGAAGAGTGATTAGCGAATAAACCTATCTTCACGTTGATTGCGTAATATGCAGTAATATGCAGTTCCCTAACTGATATCAATCCATGATCAACCCGTATAAACAAAACTAACCCTTAAAAACCAACTACAGACAGACAAAATATATTGTCAGAGATTTCGAAACAACATTTTTTAATCAAAGTCTTTGGTTTCAGTGAATTGGTTTTTACATTTCTCCACGTACAATTTTATAAAAATTCAGAATAACAAAAAAACTTCAATGAAAATCTGTTAGTTAGTTTCGATTAGAAACACATATGTGTCGATATGGGTGTGTCACCGTTATACAGAAAGAACTATTTCAGTTTTGAGAACCCTAGATTGAGTGAAGGTAACAAATCTATCGTTTTTTGTGTAGAATTATATTAAAAAACCACTTATGAAAAGTTCTATCCTAAATACGAAAAATAAAACCTACAGTATTAAAATGCTATTTAACTATCAATGTAGAATATTGCTTAGAATTAAAAAGCAACACAGCTTCATATAGTCAAGTATTGTAATAGACTGTCTATGTCCATTATGTTGAGATGACCAAATATGCAAACATCAGCCTAAAATACATGAAAATGTATCATAATATACATGCATAGGAAGAACTAACCGATCTCTGAAAGTAAGAGCTGGCTTTAGACCACATTCCTAAATGACTTCAGAATCAAATCGAATCTACGAAACGAGTTGATAGTGCGAACAGGCCAACTATCTCCTGTATTTCGAAACATATTATAGAGGTAGGACATAAAATTGGTGTTTACACATCTTTTAAACGCATCTATAAAAAAGTGTTTAGGGGAGGACGTATGCTAAAGTTTGTGAAAACCCCAGTTGGCGCTTAGGAAGTTTAAATAACCTTTATGAGGTCGAAGCAACAATTCGTCATCATACTAAACGCGCTTAGGTAAACTCCTTCCTTGACCTTGACCTGTACACAATCTGACCTGTATTGTAATTATTCATGCTTTCTTGCTTTATATAAAAACTGTGTATGACAAGTACGTGTGTGATCAGAATGTCCGAAATGTGTTGCGCTAATACATTCACGTTTCAGATAAACTACTTCTTATTGTTTTGTCGAGATATGCACTTTTACCTCCTTTCTTTGGTTTAGTGACTTGCAATGTTAATTGAGCTTTCAGCATCTTCTTTTAACTTGACCCAAGTATTTTTTCTCACCTCTTAACTCTTTATTATTTTCACATATAAAGATATTCCCATGACAAGTCCTTGTATGCTCAGACTGCTAAAATATGTTTCGTAAATATAGTATACCACTCAGAAAAATTCCTCTTCTAATTGCTTTGTCTAAATTCACAAAAGGAACTGGCTACTTTATGTAAACTTGTACTAAGTAAGCAAAAAACATTTGTAACTAGCCATTAAAATTCACTTTAGCTCTTAATTAACTGTATTACAACTTAATTTACTGCCTGAAAATTAGGAAAGTACCACCATAATAAAAATGTCTGAGCTAGGAAGAGCACTGTCATAGAAACATTTTACATTATCTAAGCTATGAAAAGATGGGTAAACACGTCTAAATTTACGTAGAATACTTAAGTACAAATATATTTAAAGGGTATTATGGAGCATTTGAACACATTATTACCTCATAAATTCAATTCTGGGCGGCGATTGAGAACGAACACTGAGTGTTTTCATTGCTGCTGTTGTCGGATTTCGGACAGTTCCCTAGGTGAATAGTCAGTCAAGTGTGGCTGAATTTAACGAACATATATTAAGGAGTTATAGAGGTGCTGCACTCATATGAATTGACATGTCCAGTTAATATGCTCATAACAATGTACACGATGATGAATAAAAAATCCATGCCAACATATTATTATCAGTTGGTGCTTAAGATTACCCCGGACAGACTCTGTTGAGAATAAATTGTAATCTAGCCACTGCTTATTTAATGTTTCTCTATTTTTTCTAAAGTCTTAACGATCTAGAGGGTTGATGGTCTATTTTCTCTTTGTAAGATTGAACAATACAACAGTATTTCAAGTTAAAGTGTAAACAAGTGTGATACTGGAGTACCACATTTTGAGCACTAAGAGTGAAGGCTGTTCTATTCTCATGTATCGGACTTGTTCTCTGTACCGTATACAGCTGGACTTCAGTATTTTCAAAGAATCAGAAAATTATT